CTTCTCTACAATGAACGGGGCCTGCAATTGTTTGAGGATGTAAGTGCTGATCGAGTGCTCCTCAGCTCAGCCACATCTTGCGTGATCAACGCTAACAACTACCCTAGATCACATATCTGGAAGAGTACTACCTGACCAACAACGAAATCGAGGTTCTTGAGAAAAACTCAAAGGAGATCGCTCAGAATATCTCACCCGATTCTATGGTCATTGAGTTGGGAAGTGGGTCAGTGAATACTTGCTGAATGATGACTCGAACGAGATGATTCTGACCTTTTCTTGAAGCAATCTTCGTAAGGTTTGTTTGTTGCTGCAAGCTTTCGAGGACGCCGGCAAGAACATTGATTACTACGCACTCGACCTCTCTCGAGAGGAATTGGAACGCACGCTCGCTCAAGTTCCTGATTTTCATCACGTCAAATGCCATGGTCTTTTGGGAACCTATGATGATGGCCGGGAATGGCTGAAACAGCCGTCCAACCTGGCACGCACCAAGTGCATCTTGAGCTTGGGTTCCAGCATAGGTAGGAGAAACTGGATCTTCAATTCTCAACTCTAGGCATGTTGATGAGTTCTTGTGTAGGAAATTTCGAGCGTGATGATGCGGCCGGTTTCCTCAAGCACTTCAGCGACGTTCTGACGCAGTCGGACAAGTTGCTGATTGGGCTTGACGGATGCTGCGATCCTTCCAAGGTTTAGTAAGTCTGAATTCCCCATATATCTGGTCTACAGCTAGCTGATCTCAGACACAGCCATGGTTACAATGGTAATTGCGCTGCCTCGTAAAGTTCACTAAGTCCATGTACTAACACCTAGAATCCTAAGACCAGAAAGGAGTAACGCATGCGTAGGTGTATCATGAACCGCTGTTTGAGCCGCATTGACTGACCTATACAGGTTCATCCTCAACGGACTCGCCAACGCCAATGAGATCTTAGGAGAAGAGGCCTTCAAGCTCAAAGACTGGGAGGTCATCGGTGAGTATGTGTACGATGACGAAGGAGGACGTCACCAAGCTTTCTATTCGCCCGTTCGAGACACATACGTTCTGGGAGCACTCGTAAGGCAACACGAGCGCATCCAAGTTGAGCAGAGTCTGAAATACTCTCAACTGGGAGCCCAGAATCTGTGGAACATGGCAGGCTTGGTCGAGACGAACTGTTGGACAAAAGGAACCGAGCATGGTAAGTGGAATCTTTCCCTCGCATAAGAAACCGAGTGGTCAAGGCCGGTGGTGGCCACCCTTCGTGAGAATGGTTCTGCACCCCATAAGCCTCCCCCACGTTTGGCCGGCTACGTGGATCCAATTGCCCAAAAAGGCATTGTGCAGTCTCCGGATCGTAAGATGATGGATCTCACTGGTCCCGATGCGATCATCTGACCGAGTTTCAATCATTCTATATTTTGCAGCGAAAATCACTCGCATCTTGGCTGGAAGCCCAATCTTCATTTCCGGAGCTGACTTGATCATAGGAATCCACATGATTTCGAAGAGGAAAATGCCCTTCAGTCGTCTCCCCGAACTTTACGCTTCTTCGCCCTGTCCTACTCTGGACGATTGGCAGGCGTTGTGGGCGGCATGGGATGCTGTTACACAGGAAATGCTCCCAAGAGAGGAGTTGTTGGATCAACCCATCAAGCTTCGCAATGCTTGCATCTTCTACCTTGGGCATATCCCCGGGTTCCTAGACATTCAGTTGTGCAAAACTACAAGGACGCCTCCGACTGAGCCAGCCCACTTTCAGCCAATGTTTGAGCGGGGCATCGACCCTGATGTCGACAATCCGGAGCAATGCCACTCTCATTCCGAAATCCCTGATGAATGGCCTGCAGTGGAAGAAATTCTTCAGTACCAGCAGCGTGTACGATCCAGGCTACTTGACCAGTACAAGAATGGAATCAATAACATCCCCAGAGCTGCTGCTCAAGGGATCTGGGTGGGATTTGAGCACGAGATCATGCACATGGAGACGCTCCTTTATATGATGCTCCAGAGCGACAAGACTGTCCCTCCTCCTGATGTTCTGCGCCCGGACTTCAAGCGCTTGGCCAATAAAGCTCGCCAGTCCCGGGTATCCAACCAGTGGCACGATGTACCTGCTCAGTCTATTGTTGTAGGCATGGACGAGCCTGATCTTGACGCTGGCGTCAACGGGTACTTTGGCTGGTAAGCAACGATTCTCTGAAACGTATATTCACAACTCACGTGGTACTAGGGACAACGAAAGACCTACAAGGGTTGCCAATGTTCATGCGTTCCAGGCACAAGGACGACCGATCACAAATGAGGAGGTGAGTGACGAGATATTCTGCGAGATCAGTTCAAGGCTGACTAGAACAGTATGCGCAATACATGTTTGAAAACCACATCAAAAAGGTCCCTGCATCATGGGCCGATGTTCAAGCTGCAGAGCCCGATTCTGACACGGTCCTGGACGCGAATGGACAAACATTTCTTACCAATGGAAATACAAATGGTCATGTCAACGGGGTCAACGGGCATGCCAACGGTCACGTCAATGGCCACACAAACGGTCATGTCAATGGCACTACAAATGGACATGTGAATGGACACCAGAACGGGGATAGTGTCGTCCCCGATTCATTCCTTGACGGCATTGCAGTCCGCACGGTTTATGGCTTGGTTCCGCTGAAATATGCTCTGGACTGGCCCATCTTCGCATCTTTCGATGAACTCTCTGGATGTGCAGCATGGATGGGAGGCCGAATCCCGACGTTTGAGGAGGCTCGAAGCATCTACACTTACGTTCATAACTCGAAGAAGATGGAAGCTGAGCGTACGCTGGGCAGGACGGTACCAGCAGTCAACGGGTAAGTTGAATATTTAGCTGATCTCAATGATCTCAGAGGCTGACGTCCCTACTTTAGCCACCTGTCGAATGATGGAGTCGAGGAAACACCACCAAAGAAGAAGTCGCTTGAGGCCGCGGAGGTTCGATCGGAGCTATTCGCGGACCTCGATGGTGCCAATGTCGGCTTGCAGCATTGGCACCCGGTTCCCGTGACGGCCGACGGCGGTCGCCTCGCGGGACAGGGTGAGCTCGGCGGTGTCTGGGAGTGGACCAGCACGCCCCTTGCTCGCCATGAGGGGTTCGAGCCTATGCCTCTATACCCTCAGTACACGGGTAAGACACTTGCATTTCCCGAGAGTGATAATCTTGCTAACGATGAGCTGTAGCCGACTTCTTCGATGGCAAGCACAACATCGTGCTTGGAGGATCGTGGTCAACGCATCCCCGCATCGCCGGCCGAAGATCATTGTAAGTCGACTACTGTGTAGGCGATGTCTTGGTACAATGTGCTGATAATTTGTAGTGTCAACTGGTATCAACGAAACTACCCCTTTGCCTGGTGTGGCGCAAGACTCGTCAGGGATATCAAATAAGCAGTTGCCTTCTTTTCATTTTGCTGGTTTTCATCGACTAATGTAGTATTACCTCTCTTAATCACACCCCTTCTGGTAAAGGCTATCAGTCCAACACTGCTTTCGCCACGAGAACGACTCAACTTCGTTCGCACCATTCCCTTGGCATTTGCCCAAAAAGCTTGAGTATTTGTTGGTCTTGTCTCATTTTGCTAGGAGCATTATTGGGGGAAACGAAAAAAGGAATCAAAGGGGCATCCACACGGGTTTTCCCATATCTAGGTGTGTCGTGTTTCTTACTTTGGGTTTGTTATGGGTGGCCTGGCTATCGTTTCTTCGATTTGAGATTGGGCATCGAGAAACGTTTTCACTGTACTACTACTTTTCGCCAAACCAGGCGACGTCCGCCGACTTGAGCGGGATATCATCAATCAAGATTCACATTCGCTAAAGAAAAGCCTTACCAGAGCCTACGTTGGCTGACCGCGACGATGGTCTTTGCCACTGCTGAGTACTGACGATCCAAGATGCCGCTCACGAGCTCCCGCATCCTCGGTTCTCGGGTACCTTACCTACCTTTCAAGTTACGTATCGTTTTTCGGGAACAAGAACGAGGTGCCGGACATCCATCCATCCAATATCCATTCATCCATCCATCCCCGCCTTTTTCAACCCAACCCCGGACCATTAAAAAAAAAGTTCCTGCAAACCCCTTGGTCGGGCGTACTGCGTATGCAGGTCATACTGCGCGCGTGGACAGTTCCCACATTGGAAATTGTGACGTCAAGAGGCCGTGGGGGTCGGTCGGTCGGTTTCCCCTCCCTTTGGTCTTTTTCACCTTCTTGGACCTTCCCCGTCTTTTGTTGTATTATGGGGTAGTAGCTATCACGGACAAATTACGAGTGCAGGGCGAAGACACCTCGGGCTGTGAGGAGAAGGGAAGGGGAGGGGAGGGGGAAGGGTTGCCTTGCCCGCCCGCCTCATCGCGAGGCCGTTCGTGCGCAGTGCGTCTGGTAAGGTGAGGTAAGGTACCTTGGGTACGGTGCGAGGCGTCCGCCTCGCAGGAGTCTTGGTTGCATATTCTCGTATATCTGAGCAGGTCATTTGGTGAGAGTTCATTCCGTGTACACTGCACGTATGCGCTGTGAACGCAGGTAGCAAGTAATGATTGGAAATTTGAACTTTTTGTTTCTTCCTCACTCTATTTCGAGTTCTAAAAAGGGCATTTCTTGCCGACAAGTCTCTCCCGTCCCGTGGTCAGCAGGACAGTTTCTCCGGCAAGGCGCCTGCATCTATTCAAGTGATAGGTACCTTATACCTGCCCGATTCACGGTCATACTACCTGCCGCTGCAAAGAGCATTTTTACCAAGCGGCCATGATCGGCCAATTCCCTTACCATACGCCTGGTCATCGGACTCTGGCATTGAGACGCCGCTCTCTATCGCCGGCGAGACTTCTCTTCGTCTCCACAATCCGGACCCCGGCATGTCTGCGGCCGGCCCCAAGTGGGCATCGAGGCCCACGTTCTCATCATTTGCGATCGTGGAGAGTCTCCGAATTTTGAAACATTTGAAAATCCTAGGCGGGTATATATGTGTTGTTTTGTAGGGGGAATCAACCGTTCAAGCTACCATAGATGTCGAGGAGCTGCTCAAACACGTAGCTGGGTAGCTTGACACCATTTTCTGTCACGAGGTTGGAAATGAAATCAGGGGGCTTAGGACAATTTTGTCAGCAATTATGATCAAGTCTGAAAATGAGGAGTGTGGGATTATGGGTGTGAAAAAAACTCACAGTGTAGTCCACCGCATCCTCAGGCTGCTCGCTGGCACCGTCCGTCCGGAAGTCCAAGACGTGCTGCTGGAAACCGAGATCCCGCTGGTCCAGAGGCACCTTGCGCACAAACTTGTGGGACTCGGCGGCAACGTAGAAGGGCAGACCGGCCTGCTTTGCCAGCTTGGCGATCTGATAGGTGCCCATCCGCGAGATGATACCGCCGTTCTGCGTGACGGCCTCGGCGCCGACAAAGACCATGTGGACCTGGCGCAGCAAGCCGAGGACGTGGGCGACGGCGGGCTCGGCGATCTCGGCGACGGGAATGCCCTTGTCGCGGAGCTCCTTGACGACGCGGTCCGACTCGGCGGGGCGGTGCTCGTCGCGGACGTAGACGACCTTGAAGCGGACACCGCCGTCGCCGGACTGGTCTGCGGCGCGGAAGAGCAGGTCGGAGACGGCGCGGGAGGCGCCGTGGGTGAGAACGACCTTGCCGTCGCGGACGAAGCGCCAGCCGGCGTCGGCGATGCGGTCGCGGGCGGCGATGGCGCGGGAGGCGAAGAGGCGGCCGTTGCGGAGGAGGTGGGTGCGGACGGCTTCGAAGGACTGGTAGGGGGAGGGGGCGGCGGCGGCCGAGGCGGATGCGTTTGCGCCTTCTTGCTGCTTAAGCGAGGAGACGAGGTACTGCAGGAAGAGGTCGGTGCCGGCCTGGAGGGGAACGGGGTTGTTGACGGATGCGTGGAGGGTGTTTGAGGCGCGCTTGACGAGGTCGAGGGTCTCGAAGACGGTGGTTGTGCCCGAGGCGTTGAGGAGGGCGATGAGGGCCTCGATGGCGGCGACGGGTTTTGTCAGGTCTGGGTCCTCGAGGAGGGAGTGATATGTTGAGACGATGCTGTAGGGGAAGAGGGGTTAGCCTTGAAATGGACGTTGAGAGTGGGTTGTGCCGTACTCGATGGCATCACTTGTCTTGATACGGATAGGGATGTCGGTGGAGGACTTTTGGCTGTCGCCAGCTGCTGTAAAGTCACGTTGTCAGTATTGGGTTCCTTTAACGTGACACGTTTGAACGCAAGTAGATTGTCAGGCAGAGAGAAAGGGGGTAGCGCACGTGTCAGGTCGCCGGTGGCCATGGTGATGTATGTGAAGAAGGATTCGATTCGGAAGACGGGCAAGGCCCTGCGCAGCATGCAACTCGTGCGCTGGTTTCGGTGTCGTCAGTGCTGCTGACAGCGGTCGCCGAGAAGATTGTAGGATATCGGTAGTGTGTTTAGAGGGGAATCGGTGCGAAGTTGGTGGTGGGCCGTTGAGTTGAGAGTCGCGATGGCGGGGTTTGGTGTTGAAGCTCTGGGAAATTTTGGGCAAAAGGCAGTGACTCAATTCCCACGGGCCACGAGTGACCGAATGGAGCTTGCCGTTGCGCCCACGCCCAAAGGGATTGATGGCTCTGATTTGGCGGGGTAATTAGGAGGGGCTCTTCTTAGGTTCACCACCGGAAGCTCCGATATGGATCTACCTAATGCCACACGTCATCTACACGTATCTCACAAGTACCCACCTATCTACTCCGGAGCCTTCCAAGTCGCCCTCCGAGCCCGTACGGAAGGTGCACACCTCCGTCTAGGCCCCCCGTCGGTCCAGGGTCCCTACAACACCACAGAAATAGCGGTCTCATCGCCCTGTATCATCACCGTCACCCTGAAAGCATCCCACTACCGACAGCGGGGTCCCCTCCACTCCCGAAACACTGACACCACCCAATGCCCAGCTAATCAAGCTCCCGTCCTTGTAAGCCTTCATCTCCCCCCCTCCCCTGAACACAAGCAAGCAATTCAACCCCGTTCTCTCTTCCCTCTGCTTCTTTCTCCATCATGAAGCTTCTTCTACCTCTACCAGACCGAGACACCCGTAGAAGCTCCCAAGCACATCCTCTTACCCCTCCCTGACAGTACTTGAAGCTATATTCCTCTCCGTCAACATAACCTCCACCACCAACACCTCATCTACAACTCCATCACAGTTGTTCAGCACACAAAGAACACAGCACAATGGAACAACTCGATCCCACAACAGGCAACCCCCTCCCAGCCGACGCTATCCAGCGCATCCTCTTCATCGCCTCCGGCGCCCACGTCTACAACATCCCGCCCCTCACCTCGAACAAGGGCTACACCGCCGCCGGCTGGACCGACCGCCAAATCTTCACCGCGCGCCTCCGCGTTCTCGAAACAGCCTGGGAGACCGCCGCCGCCGCCCGCCCTACTCCAGTAGGCGTGGGCTCCGCCGTCGTCCCCGTGGCCCCCGGCGCACCCGCAGGCATAACCTCGAAAGAGAACCACATCAAGGTCGACATCGTCCTCGAGGACCCCTCCAACGGCCAGCTCTTCGCCGCCGCGCCCTACACCTCCATCAACGCCGTCGAGCCCGTGCTCGACTCGTCGCGCTTCTTCGCGGTGCGCGTCATGGACGGGCAGGGCCGGAAGGCGGTGCTGGGCGTCGGCTTCGAGGAGCGCAGCGAGGCGTTCGACTTCGGCGTCGCGCTGCAGGAGGCGCAGAAGAGTCTGGGTTTGCTGGACGCCAGCCACGCCAAGCAGGCTGCTGAGAATAGCAAGCGCGCCGAGGAGGAGAAGAATAAGGATTACAGTCTCAAGGAGGGCGAGACCATCACCATCAACTTTGGCGGGTCAAAGATTGGGCGCCGGGCGAGGACCGAGTCCGGGTCCGAGATCCCCGGCGGAGGAGCGGGAGGGTTGCAGGGGTTCTCTCTTCCGCCGCCGCCGAGCGCGCCCAAGAGCAGCGGTGGTGCTGGTAGCTTCGGATTGCCGCCGCCTCCGAGCGCTGCCAATATCCGAGACAAGAAGAGGGAGAACAGGAAATCCGCACAAGACCTGGGTTTCGACGACGGCCAGTTTGGAGAGTTTGCGTAAGGGGCTGGCTGGCTGCCGCGGAGTGTCTGTCACGCACGAGCTGAACGAATGCTACGAGGTAGCTTCGCTTTCATAGTTGGCAACAAAAGAGGAAAAATAACAAAAGCTCAGCCCCCCCTACAAGAGGAGGCTTACGAAAGATCCGAGCTACACCTCATGCGAAATGAGGCTCGGATTTTTACAAGAGAAAGCCGGGACTCGAACCCGGGACCCATGGAAGCGGGGCAATTCAGACGAGGACATTCCCCGCCACGCCATGGGCCTTGGTGACAGTATCAAACAAATTTGTTTGTTATAGAGGCATGGTGGCAGGTGGTTGGCGGTGAATGAGTGAGACTGGATGCGTTGGTGACGGTTGTGGTATATTCATGGCCAGGAATAAACACAAAACTCTAAAAAGAGGCATGTCGAGGAGTTTGGAGGCGGCCCTTATTTGATGATTATAGTAAAAAAGATTCCCTACCCTGCTTTATTGCAATTACCATCTATCTGCCTACTCCCCGGATGAGACATGAGAACACTAAAAGCACACGCAGGCTGGGCTCATCTACTTGCGCCTGTCTGCCGTACAACCATGCTTCGGGTAGTTAGTTCTGATAGACCTGCGATACTGGCTCGTTCTCCTTTTCGCCTGGTCTGCGTAGCCCCTCAACCCCTGGCCAGAGGCTTTTCAACGAGGGTAGACTACTTCTTCTGCCCGATGTCGGAGTTTCAATCTCCTGGCTTGATTTCTGGTCCTGGCCTTTGATACCATCCTGCCGCGGATCCCCCGCCCTCAACCCATAAACAAATTGTAAGCCATGATTCCCCAAGTTTTCCGCAAGAACCTCAGGATGTTGACCAAAATCGGCCCATGATCCAGCTGGCCTTGTATCATACACCTCATACCAATGCTCTCCAAAGCGAGGAGCCGCTACGTCCCACGTATTGTATACCGGATGACATCCCGCGGGAAAGAATACCGGGGAGGCCGCGTTCAGTGGCGTCGGTATCATCGATGTTACATCGGACGGTGTTGTAGCATAAGCGGAAGCACTGGGTGAATCGACGGACCACCATGCGTATCTTCTCTCGTAGAGTTCGTGTTGTATCTGCATCCAGGTCTCGCGGCTCTGAAGCTCCACGTATATATCGCCGAGCCGCAGGAGGATGATCTTCTTTTGTGCCGTGGCATCGACGATCTTGCTCTTGAGCAGAGCTATCTTCTTTCTTGCCTTGCGGCGCTCGTCAGAGGGCAACCCACTGTCAACATTCTCCTGGAGTATCGACAGCCTTCGCATGAGGTTGATCTCGCGTTCGCCCTGTTTGCTCAATGAATACATCAGATATGCCTTTTCCATGTATAATTGTTCGAAAGAAAGCGGTGATGCTGCAGTAGACCATCCAGAATCCGGTTCGGTGGTCGTGTTGACACTGGCTCTTGGATTCGGGCGACCGAGTCTCAGGGCGGCCAGGAGTGGTGATGGTACTGCCGGAGTACAAAGTATTCGTGATCCTCTGAGGCATAACAGGTCTGGGGAGTTGGTCGAGGCCGAGTCATCGGACGATGTTGTAGAATCTTGATTCTTGATGTTGGAAGGAACGAAGACTGGAGCTTCGACATGCTGATTCATGATGAGGGGCAAAGACAAACAACGGTACTAGTGTCGACAAGATTGTCTCTCGAGAGAGAACAGTTGGTCCTGTTCGATCAGATAGAGGCTATAACCGATGAGAGTCGACTCCGACTGTGTCCCGATCTGGCAAATTCGAGACAAAGGGTAGGTTAGGGGTTCAGAAGTATGAGGCCCCTTCGCCGCGACAATCCTCATATCCGAGACCGAAAGCTCTAATCGAAATTGATGAAGCAAAGATGCAGTGAACAAGGGAAATCCCGATTTAGCCTGGTACGTCTGGGAGAGAGCAGGCATTCGGCAAACAAGATGGCGCAGTTGAAGCTCCGGTGCGATCTGTGCTTCCAAACAATACCTGAATGCGCAGCAGATGCGGCTTGCTAATGAAGTATGCATGGCAGATCTGCCCATCTGCTTGCACTTGCAAATAGATATGGGCAATTTGGCCTGTATGTTCGTCAGCCCAATAGTTCTCAAACGTAGACTTGAGGTGAATGAACGGCTTAAGAGCTACTGAAACACAGTTGTGGATCTAAACATTAATATGAGGACCACACGATTATAGAGGGTACTATGCCAGAACTGATGCGATTGGTAGCAAAACAACCACGTCACTCACGTAGCTGTAGTTGTTGACGCCATCATAAAAACGGACGGGCTGTTGGTATAATCCAGACGAGCATCCCTGCTAGAGAGGCCTGGGTCGCCATACATCTGCGGCCGTCCTACCCGTGCAGGGGCATCCTACTTTCTTGAGGGAGCAAATTCAAGCCTGCTGTAAGAGCACCTACCATCGTTACTTTTGGTGTAAGGGACTTCTTTTCAGATGTTGAAGCCGTCGTGCCGAGGAGGGTCGCAGAACCGCCAAAGACCAGCCGCTTCCGCAGCCTTTCGGACCGAGGACACCTCGTCTCCCGATACGGCTCGGTTGATTTCGCTATAGCGGACCTCGTCGTCCTGGGTGTCGGTGCTCTTTTTGTTGCGTCTCTTAGACTTGCCAACGTGCGCGTCTGGGTGATACTGCTCCATAATGTTGACGAAGCAATCTCTGGAAACTTCCTCTGCCAAGAACTGCATTATGCGATGTCCCTCTTGTTTCTTTCCGGGCATGACAAGATGGCGAACTAAGAGACCGCTCTTGGCGATGCCATCTCCGGTAAAGCACAGGTCACCGACCTGATTGTGCATTGCTTTAATGCTCTCGCGAGCCGTGGCGGCATAGTCGTCTGCCTTGAGCAACCGCTTGGATGTTGCCGACTCCCATACCTTGAAGTCAGGTAAATAGATGTCTACCAAGCCATCAAGCAGCTCCAAAGACGCTAATGAATCAAAGCTGGAGGTGTTGTAGATGATTGGCACTCGCAGGCCCAGCTCCTTCGCATGCAGTATGCTGAGGACAACCTGGGGAACAACATGTTCCGGGGTGATGAGGTTGATGTTGTGAACACGGCCGATTTGCTGTAGCTTAACGTACCATTCACCCAGCTCCTCGGGTGTCAAGTCTTGGCCGTTGCGCTGATGTGCAATGTCATGATTTTGGCAGAATACGCAACGCAGATTGCAACCCGAGAAGAACACGGCGCCACTGCCATTGTGCCCTTGGACGCAAGGTTCTAGATCACATTATGGTCAGTCCAAAAGATCTCGCAGAACCTCTGAGAGGTTTAGAAAAGACGTTGAATGCGATGGAGACGTTTGCCCCAGACCTTCACCAAAATGCGGAGCAATCACGTTGACCTTGGTGTCATTGCCAATCAGACACATTCCAGTCGTCTCGAAACGATTGACACCGCAAAGTCGCGGACAGAGGTTGCACTTGGAGAGATGGGCGTAGGCCTTTGATCGCTTTTTGGATTCATCGATGGAGGTCAATGCCATGTAACGGGGCGTATAATCGTCTAGGAGGAACGGGGGCGCAAGGTGTAGGTAGCGGACAGCGCCCGCCATGCTCCGGCGAAAGACGTCGTGTCTGCTTGTGATGGTTCGTCTCAACATGCTCATCTTTTAAGTCTGGAGATAGCAGTCTGAGGTGTAGGGTAAACGATGGAAACATTTCTTGCGTCACAGGACGATTGGAAGGAGGAGAGGTGACATTACTTCATGTGTCGTTCTATTGGCCCAAACGCCTGAAGGTGGGTCCTCTCCCGATCATCCATCGTCCGACTACGAAGGAACTGTCCGTCCGCGCCGTCCTAGGTACTGTCACTTCCGTGCAACCTCCTCGCATATCTTCCTTCCCGCGTATTTCCTTCCAAATTTGCCATTCAAACGTTGCAAATCTTCTCAAGGAAATGATCCAAACTCCTGCAAGACCTACAGACAATGCCAAAGTCCAATCCACGTTTCCGCATTGAGACAATGGTTGACTTGGCGATTTCGAGAGGCCCTAGCCATCGCCGATGTCTATCTCTCAATTTATCGCATGACAGAATCTCGCACTTGTACCATGGGCTATGGTAACGCCCGAATATCTGGTACTGCTTTAAGTTTGATGGATCTAAGAATGGTATACAGCCATCATCTCTTTATTTGAGAAAAAGAAGAAGCGCCTCAGCGTTGAAGCCGTGAGGGTCGTGCGTGTATGAGTATCAGCACTTCTTTTCCTAGGTTTATCTTTGCCCATCATTTCGAAATGTAGTTTCGCCGAATCGTCTTGATTTTGAAGCTGGCCATGCTGCAGGGATCTCTATTCAGCTCTACATCAGGCTCCGGCTTCCGTGATGATCGACATAACACCATCCGAGGGGATGGCCCGACTAGATGGGCCCGTTTTCGCTTTTCAATCGATCCCCTGAGGGACTTTCCCCAGTATTGAAGCTGGATCTACGAAGATGCCGAAGATTTCAAGTGATTTCAGCTGGAGTCTTGCGCATGAAACAGCGAATGATCAGAGTCAGATATAGCAAACATCATCGACAAATTTGAAATGTCCAACAGGACGGTACGCCAAAGAATTAGCCCGCCGCGAAAGCCGATGGCTTGTGACGATCGACGGTTTGATTGCGCGAGCTGAGTCAACTTCAGATGAAGGAGGGGCAGCTGTCGGAATAAGAAAGTTGAGTCTCTCTGCAAAACAGTCTTCCATGAGTCTCTACGCTGTGACTTGCGAGCTAGAAGACTTGCAACGCGTTCTAGTGTATTTTCAGACACATTGCTGTGGGTAAGGGAACGCCAAGAATACGAACTCGTAGGTTGAGGTGGTCTCCGCAACTCTCACTTACAACACGATCTCGTGCCACTTTGTGTCTCGCTGGACTGAGGTGCTCCAGATATCTGCGTGGAGTACTCGAGAAACATCATCAAAATGGCAGAAGAAACGAGTTTGGCAATGTAGAATGGATATAATACTTGACGGGATCGAGTCTTTTGGTGCCTAGTCATGCGCTGGTGAGTCCTCAGTGACTCCCTCCTTTCACTCTTTTCTCATTGTCCGTATACATCGTCAACACCGTCAAGGCCGGGCGACTAAGCCTTGCGTCCATTCGTTTGATCAAGACGTTCACTTGGAAGAGCTCTTTCTCACTCTCATTAATCAGAAAGCTTTTGACCTTTTTTTCTTCTTTCCTTTCGCTGATTCGTAGTCAATAACTTCCACTTCATCATCTTTTCTTTTTTTGTGTTCATACACTTTGGAAGGGCATTTGTTCTTGAGCCCTGACGACGACGATTCTATTCTCAATATTACCCAGGGCGCGTTTCGACTTCAACCATGATGAATTCGACGTTGGCATTGCTGCTATTCTTATCTTGGGTGTTGCTTCCCATTTCGAACGCCCTACACATCACCGACGAGACTATCGACAAGTTCCTCCTCGAAGAGTATGACTACATCGTCGTCGGCGGTGGTCTCTCAGGCTTGGTCGTCGCCAACCGTCTGAGCGAGGATAAAAACAGTAAGTTTCTTTCTCCTTCATCGTCATTCGCGCGCGCGCGCCTTGACAAAGCTGACCATACGCCAGCGACTGTCCTCGTGATCGAGTCTGGCGAGCTCGACGGACGGGAGAGCAGGGTCATCGCGCCCGGCTACATCGGCCTCACACCGCCCTCGCCATACGGCAAGAGCGTCACGACGGCTCCTCAGACGTTTCTCGATGGCAAGACGCGCGGGATCAGCCAGGGCAGAGTCATTGGCGGCGGTTCCGTCACGAATGGCATGTGCTGGACCAGAGGATCGGCAGCGGACTTTGATGCTTGGGAAGAGCTGGGAAATCGAGGATGGGGATGGAAGAGCCTTCTTCCCTACTTCAAGAAGGTGAGTTTGATGAAATTCACATGAAGATGACAGTGAAGGAATGAGAACTTCAAAACTGACGGAAAATACAGGTTGAGACGTATACCACTAATCTTGATCAAAATACCCAAGACCGCCTCAGCATTCACCCGGATATGTCGGCTCATGGCACAGAAGGACCCATCAATGTCGCTTACCCTGAATACTTCTATAACTCGTCGGGTACAGTCCTCTCACCATCCAGTCTGTTTCATTATTCTGACTTTCTCACAGATCATGTCATTCACGGGCTGTCAGAGATGGGCATCCACCTCTCGGGCGACCTTAACACGGGCGACCCGACAGGAGCCATGATGGTCCCGTCCAGCATGTCTCCTACCAACCAGACCCGCTCCGATGCAAGAACAGGCTACTTCGATCCGGCCATCTCGCGTTCAAACCTGCACGTCGTTACCGGGCAGACCGCGACGCGTCTCATTGTGGGCTTGCCCGGCTCGCTCGCCAAGGGGGGAACCCGTCGTCGAGTCATTGGGGTTGATGTAAGTCATCATCCGTTCTCCTATGATGGGGTCTCGGATCCATGGCGACCTATTGACTAACTGTCTGTAGTTCTCATCTGAGCCCCTTGGCATCAACAGAACAATTACTACCAAAAGGGAGGTCATCTTGGCTGCCGGCGCGATTCAGTCGCCCACGCTGCTTCAGGTTTCGGGCATTGGTCCCCGCAAAGTCTTGGAGTCATTGAATATCTCTGTACAGATCGACCTGC